CAGTACCGACCCCTGCGGAACACCACTTACATATATGAACAGCTACTAGGCATTATTAGGAGGTACCTATGTGTGTGTAAGAGAATATATTTAAGATTTGTACAATGGATATATCTCACCTTCACATAGTATTTCAGGCTGGCAATAGATGCTGCCATCTTTCTCTTTTACAGCAGTTGCAGTAGATGGAATTGTGACTAAATTAGAACCTACTTCTGCATCCTGAAAAGACATACACTGAAAAAGTAATGTGTCTCTAAGAATATGCTTCTAATTTAGAACTTTCATTGGGTTTGATATTAATATAGACAATTTTGGGATTAAACAAATAATTCTGCTTCAAGAAGTTCCTTCTTATGGCATTTATCTTGTAACATTAGATTCTGACCTTTTCATTAGAAATCTTGGTATACTCAGAGGATTTTAATATATCATAGCACAATAATTTTGAATCGCACCGAGCCTTTAGAAGGGTCTAGATATACATGGCTATGTTCCAGAAGCACAATAAATGGATTACATAGTTTGTGAATTTAATTAATGAAGATGGGTTTCAAGGAATTAGGGATGAAATTTCCACTAAAAGTCACCAAGGCTATTTTTTTTTGCACCTGCTAAAAATCAAGTGCAAAAATACGGGCAATGCGCTCTTGGTTTTAATATGCTATTGCTGAATTCTTAAGATTGCAAGGTAGTTTGGATAGCTGGTGTGATCCAACACATCCTTTGTCATTGCTGCATAACTGTTCTTGCGACATGAACAAAGCAGCAAGATTCTAGGGTGTAGAAAGAAAAAGTATTATCCATTCCAAATGTATCAGGCAGAAACTTGCCCAAGTTGCTGGGCAGTATAAAATCTTCCCTGCAAACAATGATGTAAAACTACGTTTTAAATTAAACTGAAAGATAAAATCTTTCCTCTTCCTAGTAAATCTCACACTTAGATGAAATCTTCTAATTTTAATAAAACCACTGCAACAGTTGGGAGCGTGCGTATATTATATGTAGGCTTCCTGTAAGGTGGAAGAAACAGATTGTGCAAAACCTCATGCATGTCCTTCCAGTCAGCAGCCAAGCTGATATATCTGCTTTTATTTGATACCATTTTACAAATAATCTCACTGGTAAGGAAATTACATATGCTGAATAGCCTTGTTCTGCATAAAGGATGGTGTCAGAACCTAGATCCATGTAGCTGTATGTCATTGCCATTTCTCACACCACGTACACAAAGCTCCTGCACACTTTGTGCGTACGTTATTTTTAAAGAATCAGAAATTTGCACATAAGGGCTGGCAACTAATAATTCACCCGTTATTCACACTGATGCATTTTAAATTACTGATCAAAGAAGAGATTAAAAAGCCATTTTCTTTCTACCTTGTTATACTGCAGAGGAACAACAAATCTCTTGTAGGTTGGTATGGAGGTAAGCTTGTTCTTCTCTTCAAAGTCTTTACTCAGGTTTTTTAAATAGAACATGTCATATAAGCTATTGTCATTATAGGCAATAATATCAAAAATAATGTGGCCATCCTCTTCATAAGCATTTATATGGTGAAAGAGCACCAGAGCATCGGTATAAAACTTGGTGGATACTTCTTTTTTAGTCCTCTTGTCTACAAAGTGAAACCAAGTCTGAAAAATAGGAAACATTATTTAAAACCATTAATGATTAGCAAATAGCTATTTAGGAAACTGTTTCTACTGGTAGCCATGAACATTCCAATGTATTGTCTGTTTCTACTGAAGCATATTAAGAATTCAGGATTTGCTGCTAGGGTACAAGAGGTTCCAACTGGATTCCAAAATATGCAGCAGTGTAATGAGTGGGGAAGTGCTTCAAAATCATTTTACTGTTGCAAACTACTATTTGGGCTGGGCTGAGGATTGAAGTTTTCTGGCAAGACTTGGAAAATCCCCTGCTCTGTTTTTAAGTTAAGTAAATCTGCCTTAGTCCAGAGTTTCTGCAGTGCTCTGTGCTGGTGCCCACTACCCCAGCATGCCCTACTTATCAATAGCCAGAGCATGTGGAAATAAGGTCCTCAGAAAACATGGTTTTTCCTCAGTTGCCACAGTGAAAGACTCCCCTGGCTCTCCTATCTGATGCAATGGATCTAGAGCAGAACTCATCCACAAAATGCACTATTTTGTTTGGACCAGGAGCAACTGTATGGCTCTGGGATGCTGATGGAGTTTTGAATTTCTCTGCTGGCATACAATATTTCAAAAAATGCCAAACTCTCCTCTTTCTCAAATACTTCAGCATCAGATATGTATTTGTGAAATTTCTGGATATGGGAGAAAGTATTCAAAAAAATACAACTTTTAAAAAAACGTGCAACATGAAAGGAGTTGAGTAAAAAATGAGAGATTACTGAAATTAATGAACTAAATGAAAAACAGAACAGTGTGGAAGAGGTTACTGGCTCGGCTGACTCCTTTGTTCAGTATCAGGAAAAATACCTTATCTTCCTTATGAAAGGCAAGGCAGGAAGCCCAGTTCACACCTCGGATGTAAGCAGTTGCCATTTTGAGAATATCCAGTTTGAATGGCTGCTCTACGAAGATAATGTAATTTTCTGTGATTCCAAAGCTATGGTAGTAGCTTGGGTGGAGCAGAGAGCGAGAAGGGATGGAGCACACCACTTCTAGATGTTTAAAACAAGATTTCTTCTTTTCTTTTTCTGAACATAAATGATAAAAAATAAAATTATATTTATAATAAATTCCAATCCAATCTTGTGCTTGGATTTCTCCCATGTATGAAGTAGGAAAGAACAGGTTCCTCTTAGTTTTATCTGCATTTTCCTGTTAAGAAAGTGGTTTGTTTCCTCCTGGAGAATTAATGTAGAAATTTGCATCTGAATGAAGCAACACAGTCATATCACAATGCCAGATCCATTTAGACAGAGCTTCCTCATCTTAGTATTTGATTCCACTGGTTACTGTCTTCAAAAGTCCCAGCACAGAAGAAAACAGTTAAATTGTGAGCTTTACAGGGGGGTTCAAATGCCCCCATATTTTTGAAATTCTAAGGACATGTTCCTGTTCAATCTATACTGACTTTGTCTGAGCCCCAGCTAGAAATTACAAGCTTATTTTTCAGCTGTGGAAGGCCTCTTGATTGTTCAGCCAAGAGGACAGACGTCACATCAGCAGCTGATTTTAAACAACACACACACAAAAAAAAGATTGTCTGTAAGGAAAAAGAGCAAGGCCTAGTGTAGTCCAGGTTAGAGAGGAATTAACTCAATTTTAGATATTTGGTATTATGCTTCAGCATTTTAAGCATTGTAATTTATGAAGAACATTAAAATTTGCAACTTTAAATTATATATACTACCCTATAGATAAAATTGTTTCTGTTCATCCTCCCTCTACACATCACAATACAGGGAATGGAAGTTCTTCTAAAAGAGTTATTTCACTCTAGTAATATTCAAAGTAGAATTCTTCTAAAAGCAATGTTCTTCATACTGAAATACCCTGTTTACACAGCATTCAAGATGAATCTTTGTAATAGCACATGCCCAGACAGACTAGACAGTTAACATTAAGTTCACACTAAGTTAAAATTAAGAAAATGAATCAGTTTCAAGAAGAGCTGTACCCCACCTCTTAACCTCAGAAGAAAACAATTTGGTAACAGGTTTCTAGAAAATACTGATAAAAGATGTGTCTTACCTGGCACAGAGGGAGGAATCTTAAATAGAAGATATTTTGTCTTTCCTTTATCAACAATTGAAGTACCAATGTTGAGAATATTTCCAGTACTGTCATAGTGCGGGTGAGAAGTTGCCACATTTACAGCCACATATTTGTTGTAGTCAACCTGGAAAATTATACAACAGGAGATTTTAGGGATATGTAAGAGAATTAGAATTTATCTCAGCTAACACCACAAATCCACCAGCTTTTTAGCACTGGCAGCCTTTTAGTGGTACCCCATTTTCAAAAGGTCTTGGAATTTAAACAATTAAGCCAAATGACTTATGTACTCAAATGATTTCCTAATTCAAGGCTAAAGCAAGTTACAGAATTGGAATTACATTCACCTCTCCCTTGCAGTCACACAACATAACAGGAGGATTGGCTAAAGAAGTTACTCTGCAAATACCCATTTCATCCTGGAAGCACTTTATTTGATAGGGCTGTGGGTCTAGCAAAGACTCTGGTCTTCTGGAGCAAAGAGATTTCTATTTGAGTTGAAGCTTGGAAATTGTACTCAAACTGTACTGCATGATAGGAAAAACTCACTGCATATTTCAGTATGTCAAGATTTCACCTTAATAATTAAATAATATCTTGCATAAGGTATTTGAAAAGTAGTCATATAACTGACCTCCTGAATTGTTAATTATGTAAATCACTTGATAACTACAGTTGCATAATAATGGGAATCATCCAAAATAATCACGTCATAAGCGTGATATGAGGTATTATTCCTGCAACCTTGATAGATTATGTAAAAGTGAGATTGCCCAAAGCCTAGTTTTTTCTCAAACTACCTGGGATTTAGTTTTGAACTCATGAGTTCTTAAAAGATCTGATATCTTCACTGTTTCATTTTACCATAATTTCAAAAGCAAAAGAATAGTAGAAGAAAAGTATCTTTCCAGTTCTGTGTCCTGCACATGTTAAAGGATCCTTATGAGTCAGCCTGACACTTTATTCATTTGCAGATGTGGAGCCAGGATAACAGACAGTCATTTCTACCTTTTCTAGTGTCTCCAGAGTCTGTGGATTAATTTTCCTGATGAAGTTGGTCTCACTGGTAGCATAAAAATCATCCCCAGTTTTCATAATGTTGATCAGGCAGTTGTCGGTGAACTCCGGAATGGTGTGAGACAAATACGAGAATGCCCTGTACAGAGGGAAATTTAGTGTCGGTTCATTAGAGCAGCAGAAGCTGTACTAGATTTACCCCGTGGAAAGCAGAAGTCGTCCAAGCAGTGCGGGCTGCGCACAGCAGCAGGGTCACGGAGTGGGGTCTGTCTCTCCCCTGCTGTGCCCTTTTCTGGCCACTCCACTGCCTCGGTGGAAAGGGTGGAAAAGCAGAGGAGATGGACTTCAACACCCTTGACCTGGGTGAGGGTTAAGGACGTGCACGCAACTGTTTTTCCACACACAAATTGGCATCCAGGTCCAGTCCTGCTGTCAGCTGTAACACACGCGCTGGTCTATCAAGGTGGGCTAATGACACGCTCTCCTGTGCCTACCTTGGGAGAACTGAGGAGAGACAGGCAAGCTACTCGCATTGGCAGGAAATATCCACAGCCAATTTTACAAGACAGGTGATTCCACGATGGCTTACACCATGCCTCTCATATACAGCCTATCATCCTTTCTGACAGTATGCAAACAGCTATTGCAGTGATCCCAGTGGTTCTGGTTTTGAACATAAGGCTAGCTAAGGCCAACAGGTGCGGTCCTTCAAAGCACTGCACATGACTCAAGAAAAAATCGAAATTTTTAATCACTTTCATTTTTTTTTTGGTAAAAATGGTCTTTAATCTGGAAGTTTTTCAAATTTTTTTTCCAGTTATTGATGCTTTCCTCTTTTTGCTGAATTAACTTTGCACAAATTCCTTCCCCATCTCTTAAACTTTTCCTTTCTTGCTGCTTCTCCCCTTAGAGAGTATAATTTTTATAAACTTCTGCAAAACAATTGAAAAAGTAAATATTTGGTTTTTTTCAAATTTACAAAATCTGCTTGTAATAGTGAATAAAAAAGTCAATAATGCTGATATAATTAATTTAAAATATTTGCCTTAGAATAACCCATAGAGTGTACAGTGCTGAATATATCTCTTGACCTCATCAACATTTGGCAACTGTAAATTTATGAAAAAATGTGTGTAAAGGGTAGACAGAAAGACATCTGTGCTGGAGAGAGAAATAGATAGAAGAATCTTATTGGAAAAAGTATTGCTTACTTGGCAAATATGTTTTTGCATGGATCTGGGTAAGCCATAGTTCCAAACTCAGACACCACTATTCGATTTGCTTCTATATTGCAGTTGTACGTGTCACTTCGGAGATACTTACTTCTGTAGTAAACTTCACCTGACAAAGGCCAAACAAGTTTCAATCACATTTCATACTGCGTTCTTTAGAAAATTAGCATAGGTAAAGTGAGAGAAAGAGTTTCTCAAGCAGATGTCCTTTAGCTAAGAAATGTTTGCAGTGAAACCAAGAATGCCCCTAGCTCCTTGGTTTTGAAGGCTTTTTCGGCTCTCTAAGGAACCCAGGACTGTTCCTGTGGCTGCTGAGATTGCTAACAACTTGTCTAGCTTCCTTGATTGCCAACACATTTGGACAATACTGGGGGACTGGGGAGAGGAAAGGAGGGATTTGGGTAAACTCTTCCAGTAAACCAAAACAATCTGTGTAAAAATTATTAACTATGCATCAATGTGTGGGTGGTGACAAATCTCTTATATTTACAAAATTTAGTTATGTGAGAACAACAAATTCCTTGAAGGAATCAATGTCTATCCCAACCATTTTAATGGACCAGTATCCTTGGACTAACTGAGCTCTGTTTGCTTTGCGTAAGCAAAATATACTGATAACTTAAAAAACACTGGTCATTTCTTCGCAGGTTATTTTGTTAAGGATGTAGAGCTGGATAGGCAAGGAGATCCTGCAGTTGCATTAAATGCCTCTAATCACAGAAATGGAAACTAAAAGGTAAACACTAGGAGTGGAGGATGACAGACATAAAATGCAGTTCTTTTACAGATACACACTTTTTGCAGCAAGAATCTAGGTGTAAAATGTCCTGCCTCACAGTGTAAAACAGCTGAACTGGTAAAAAATGCTTTAACCAAAAACAAAAAATGAAATTATTTTGGATAGAGGAGCTGCCTGTTTTCCCTCCACAAGGACGACAAGTAGACAGGCTGCTTGAAGGAGTGTCAGGTATACGTAAGTGGGGTTTGATATGGGAAGTGACACAGTGGCCCAGTTTCTCTCCTGGCAGCTGTTATAGCTGCAACCAAATCCCCACAGGGGAACGTTAGTTTTCCCTGAAACTAGGTTGTTCATTCACAACAGAAAAACCTCCTGGTATTACAGGACTTTTGGTTGATCCAGTTTGAAACAATGAAGGTTTTCTTGCTGCGGGTGGAAGGCAAAGGCTGCCCTGCAGTGACCTGCGCAGAGCTGGTTGCAGGCTGTCCTGCAGCGCAGACAATATTGAACTTTGGTTCTCCAGAAAAAAGGACAAGATAATGTATCTCTGGTGACAGCCCTGCAGAGATACTCCTGCTGCTGCTATGGAGAGTGAGGTGTAAGTGTGTTTGAAGAAACTTTCCCCAAAGCAGTTTACCACCTCACCACACATGCCACTCTGCAGAAGAAACCTGCAACATTCTAATGCTAATCCAACTCAAAACAAAATTAGCAACGTAAGGCACCAAGGTTTGGGTTGTTGAGCTTTTTTTAATGTGATGTGCAACAACTTACCATTTTTGAATGTAAAGCTATGCAGCAGAGCCAAGCCATCAAACCAGTGGTTATACTTTGTGTCCCCTATTGTGTGCATCCCTGGGCCATTTCGGAGAAGTGTCCCTTGCAACCAAGCAGGCAACTGACCTAGAAACAAAAAGGAGATATCAGTATCCATTCCTTTAGGTGAGGGGCACGTTACAGGACAGTTTTCCTTAGTTTCATATAAGCAGACTGTAAGTAAGTCAAGATTTGTAATAGCATATAATTATGTTGGAATTTTGGATAACAAAAATAAGACCTGCTTAAAAATGTGGCACTAGGAATATTCTACATGAATATTGCTATATAAGATTACAGTAAGACGATAAGATTGCGGGAATGTAATTTGCTAAATATCAGGAAGCAAATAAAATTGGACCTTTCTTTCCTGCACTCAGATTTTAAAGCGATGCATTTAAACCTTTTACTTATGCCAGGAAAAGCTAGAGCTTATCAGAAATAAACGTATTTTATAGGTTGTGTGACTTGCATTGGCCTTCACTAAATCAATTTAAACTTCAGGCTAAATGAATTCCAGTAAAAATGTCATTAATTAAATTATACAGCATAATGTAGTGTCATTTGGGAGTGCTTTTGCGACACTAGTCATAATGTTGGTGTTTTGAACACAAATAATGGGTAGGAATATTATACTCAACATATATAAGTACTGTTGAGGTTTGAATAAGAAATGTTCCTCATTAAATCCTTGTAAGAAATACATTACCTACCATTTGACACATAGAATTACAACAATTAAAGAACGCCATTAGGGTTAAAGAGCTGAACAAAAGCATATCGGATATCAAATTAAAAGCTTCACTTGCTTCTCTGTGTGTATGCCTCCTGAGGGAATATTTAAGATCACATACTACTTTTCCACACAATTCCTGCACTGAACATTGTCTCTGCATAAAAAGCTATTCAGAATTGTTAATTCTCCTTCTCATTTAGTTTGTGACCCCGTGTCGAATACATTGGCACACTTTCCTATTAATACTCCCTTTACAACAGACAGAAATGTCCTCCCATGGAAATATTCCATTTCGTCAAAGCTGATGCAGTTGCAGAAAGGAAACAATGGCTTTGCTGTAAGACTTTCTGAGTCTGTGAGTTTTTGTTTGTGAGTCTGCTCACACAACTTCTTTAGGGTTACTGTTCTGGAATACACAGGGAAGATAAAAAATTGTTCACACAGTGGATGGACAAGTTGTTGTTGTTGTTGTCGTCGTTGTTATTACTACATTCTGGAAGAGCCTTGAAAACCAAACCTTACTTGCCTTTCTACTACCAAGAAGTTCCAATGCAATAATTATAGTACTTTTTTGTATAAGATAAACAAGGTCCAACTTTTAATACAGATAATTGCACAAAACTTGGCTAACTAGAAGTAGTTGGTGAGAAGACAGTGAGGAAATCACAAGTTAGCAAAAGAAAAGAATCCTTCAGAGAGAATAGGATTATGATTATGAAAGTATATATTCAAAATAGATACGTAATTTTTGTTTGGCTGACTACTGAACATTAATTGCTGAACAAGTGTAGGCTGTTTATATGCCTAAAACATGTTTGCCACTTCCCTTTCTACAGCTTTCTGTTATTTGGCAACAGAAGATTGTAGGCTCTGCAATTTATCATTGTAAACCTGTGCAATGAGCTTGAGCTGCTGGTCGTGCCCCAAAACACCTCCTGCTAACACTGAGTTGGGGCTGACTGCATGGGGTCTTGCTGCAACCAGTCCTTCTTCCCCTGCAGTGAAAATGTAATACTTCTGCATACGAGATCTTGTGGGATTTTGACTCAGTAAAACTAGCTTCTGCTTTGGGGACCATCAATCAAGAAAAGCAGATACTTCTGCAGTTCTGTGAACATCTTGCAGATCCCAGGGCTAAAAATTTTGTTTAGAGATTATTCCTCTATATCAGAATAATGATGCTCAAAAAGTTCCAGGACAGGCCAATAAAATATTTGCGCTGCAAGAGATAAACAAGGAAAAAAGGGGATTTTCTTTTCAAGGTGCTGTGGACTTGATGCAGCTTCTGAAACTTCTGGTGCGATTCAGTGTAATTTCTGGCAAAATTCTAGTATGAAAAGCTTGGTGGAAAGGGTCATCTAGTGAGGTTTTCAGATTAAAATTAATCTTAGTGGGAATTCAGAATTTCTGTAAATCATACTGGGTACCAATCAGCATCGTAAAGTGCTTACATAGATTTAAAAACCTGGATCTTGTATGTTTTTTGCTTCAGACTGTTATCTGAAGTGGAAATAATGATACTTTCCAGTACCACATGAGGACACAAAAGTGACACAAGTAAAATCTCCAAATATTTGGAAGTTTATTAACTATCATAGAAATGGAGTCTCGTACAATCACATAGCTGTACAGTGTTTAGGAGAACATGGGTTAAATTAACGCTGACGTTAAGAGTATGGAGCCATATTTACAGTGTTCATATTGAGTAACAAGGAGCCAAAACACTGGCAGAGCTCCAGGCTAGCAAAATATTTAAAGAGGTCAGGGTTCTCCTTAGTTTTCATAAGTGGTAAATACTGAATCATCATTATTAATTAAAGAATATTTTGTGTACATAATTTTATTTATTGAAATATGCACTCTTTGTTCAAATAAACCATTCCATAATACAGATCAGGCCTGATAAATGGTTTGTTTGAAAACAACTTCAAATGTTTCAATAAGTTTTTATCTTGAGAAAAAAAAAAAATGAAAGGCATAAAACCACCACAAATTATAACAAAGCTCTTTATCTGACTTTAGAAAAAAATCTTTTCCAATGCAGCCACCAAACTGAACAACAACAAAGTCATGCAAGTTTTAATTGTCATCTTCTTAAGTGTTGTACTTGGGAAGTGATTTTAAAATTGCTATTAGATGCCTACCATTTCTTGGACTACGTATTACAAAATATGCAGCATATATTTACTAAATAGGGTTCTCAGCAACATTCTCCCATAGCTGTAGCAAAAAAAGCAGTAAAAATAATAGATTGATCAAGCGTTCATCCCTAGAGAGCCACTTTAAATAATTTCTCTGAAGGATACTCCACAGTTTTTACTGGGTTAACTTCTGAACCCTCTTTTTAACAGTACCCAGTAGCATCCATGACTGCTGCGTTGCTACTTAGAAATACTACTGTTGAAGAGCCCCAATTTTAGTGACCTCCTCCAGAAGGCAAGGAAGACTGTCAGCAGACAGCGGGAGGGGAAGGAAGGGTTACGGAGAAGAGAAACCAAAAGCCTGAGCAGAGCCATGGGGGAGGGGGTGTCACCAGATTAAATCCCGACAGTTTGTCCTTCACCACCAACTTCAGTGAATCCTGTTCAAACAGACTTTTTGGAAAAGTACACAGAAATGCCGATAAAGTAAGAAAAATTCCACAGTCAGGGCACAAATATTATCTGAGATCAGTCCTTTAAACAACATTCACTTAGTTGCTCGCTTGCGTAGTTTTCCTTTTCAGTGTTGTCTTGGGTGAACAAATGTTTCAGTGTTTATATATTTGAAAACACCAAAGGAACCTCACGTATTAGAACAGATTTTCTTTCCCTTACCTTGCACCTCGGCTTTTATGGGCTCTGGATGTTCTTCTTTATTTCTACCAAATATCGTATCCATATCGCATGGAATAAACAGTGTCTGTGTCCTGTACCCAGCTGCTCCTGCCGCCGCTGTGGTCCCTCCGGTCTGGGCTGGGAACGGCTGTTTCCTGTTACATATAAAGATACGGTCAAAGTGCAATGCGAGCTGGTGGCTTATAGATTGACAATTTATAATAGCTGATCTTTAATCCTTAGCACATACACTATAATTCCTGGACATTCCCATTAAAATTAACTCTTTCACTGATTCAAAGGAGAAATAAGAAAAACGTAACTTGCCTTTTGGCTCCGTATGAACCTGTCTGAAGCAGCCAGGCACATCCATGGAGTCAGGAGCTGAAACATCACCTGCAGCATCTCAGATCAAATTTTAGACACCGTGTAGGGGTGCTTGCCCCATTTGGCAGGAAGGGAGAGAAAAAGAAAAGAAATCTCTGCCCACTGTTCTGAATTTGGCTCTTCGGGAGGAACAAACATTTCAGAGCAGGGTGGCATCCTTTTCTTTCCATTCTGTGAAGTTTAAACTGGGCCACTCTATTAATTACAAACATCATCTCTGAGCACTTGTGTGCTGTATTTCTTTATATACGAGCTGTTTCAGAGTGAACTGAGAGGCACATCTTTGATTTAAATATCTTTTCGCAAATAATCACGATAACATATTCTCCCATATGTGACCTGAATCTACTCTGTGAAAGCATGGCAGGAATTGTTCAAAATAAGGGGGATTTTTAACTTCACGCTTTTGTTTCTAGATAAGGTACTTAACTGAGTTCAGTGAAGTTAGTTTTGAAATCCTCTGGGAAAAGAATTATTTCAATATAAAGCATGTGATTGCAGAGCAATTCATAGGCTCCATTGAACACGAAGGATAAAAAGATTCTTTGCGCATTTATATATTATGCAATTTCATATGAGGTTACCCTAAAATCTGATTTTTTCAGCTAAATCACTGTTGTTCCCAAAATGTTTTAACATCACTTCTTAAGGCTGACTAAGCTTTTATAAATACACATATTGATTTTATTTAAAACACAATTTGTGCTACACCTGACGGCTCTGGCTCACTTGTTACACCATACCTTGCTCCTCTTTTCCTAACCTATTGTCCATTTGATGGCCTACCTTCACTTTGGGAGATCAACAAGACAGTATGCCTTTGTCTCTGTTTGGAAACCACTGATAGAAACAGGTGATAACACAATTAAAAGCTAGATTAGGAAAGAAAACCTAGGGGCTTTGTTGGAGTCAGTAGTATTAGTAAAGAAACAGCTGGACTGAACCTGGGGGCTGTGGGAGATGAAGGGTGTGAAAGTCCGCATACATCCACATATGCAGAGGTATATATATACATAAACATACACTACCTATGCATGCATATGTGTATGTGCATACATGTGAGAGAGAGAGAGCATGTGTGTGCGTACTGAGTTGCAGACTTACTTGTATAGGCGAAACCAAGTAAGGGATTTTTCGGCAGTGTTAGGGACTGAAGAGGATCTGTTAATAAAGCAAAGCCATCTAAGTCTACTTCCACTGAGCCACGGGGGCATTTTCTTCGTCCATGATGTTCTACTTTGCTTTAATATGTTCTGTTCAGCGTATCCTCTTCCATTTACACAGCCACAGCTCTAAATGCTGCAGTTCTAATTATCTGACCTGTGAGTGGTCTAATCTGTAGCAGTACTGAGAAGATTTCCATAGAGCAAGCAAGCAATAAAAAACGGTTCATTCAAACCACTTTTGCCCTTCTCCACCATGACTGTTCGTGTAATTTAAGGTTCAGCCAAGATGAGATAATTGCAAACCTTGTTAAAAGTCATTTGAATGGAAGAGCTAGGAGCTGCAGATAGCAAATAACTTGAAATCAACCTAAATGTGCTTTGGCAGCTAATTTCATGTTTCTGTGCCTTAAAGTTTTGTCCCATATTTTGTACAACTTAAATGAGGCCTTGCAAAGTTCATTTTTCCTGCTTGTCAGTGAAAAATACTTCATTTACCAGTAAAACACTTCTTCTTGTTGTTTTCATCTTGCTAGTGACAGACACGCAGTTTAGTAAGGTACAGAGAGATGAATTTTCTTGGAATTTTCCCCTTTTTCCACTGAAATGGAGAAATATCAAAGTATTGATTACAATTATAATGTGTAATTATCAGCAAAAGTATATGTAGATTAGGTGACTTTCCTAATTTTGTTATTTCACAGTGTTTTTTCTCCCTTTGTAAAAACGTGTGTGATGGGAGAGGATGGAGAATGTTATAGAACTCCATGTTCTAGGGAACACAGAGGAAACACAACCCTCTCTGGAGGGTTTTCTTCACTGTATTTTTTCTGCTTTAAACAATTGTGGTGGAAGCTGCAAGCTGTTTCCTTTTGGGGTTTTTTTGGCTTTCACTTCCCTCCAGTCTCTGAGTGACTTGAGCTTCTCTCCAAAACTTACAAAGGGCCATGAAGACATCTTTGGAGCAAAGCATTACCCTGACAAGTGCTGGTTGTACCCTGTGGCCATGCAAGGCTGGGGGTGACACTGAGGGTGTGAGCTCTGTCGTCAATTGAAACAGAACTTCCCAAGGCAGAGGAGCTGGTTAAATAAGTCTCTAGTATAACAATAATGTCATTGCCATCAGTCTACCTTTGCACTTTTGGTTCAGTTACACAAGAAGCAAATTGTTGCCTTATAAATCAGAGAGAGACCAATATTATTTCTTATCTCTCTATTGAAATGTAACTACTTAATTTACTGTAATCTCAACCTTTCTCTTATAAAATTCAAATTCTAATTAAAGCCCATTAACAAAGGTCAAATTACCTGATATGAGTTCAAGCTTTGCTAAGAACTAAGAACTTTCATCTGTCAACTGTTATCTGTTATTACCAAATAAAGACTCCAATAGTAAAACTGATACAAGCTTCAGAGTCGTTCTTGCTGAAATCACACTGATTGCTATCTCACTGTGCCAGGAGATGTAAGCTCTAGTCTCTGTTAAATACTGTCTTATTGACATGATCTTATTTCAAAAAAAGAAATACTACCAGCATTATCTAGGAATAATTCTCTTGCACTGTCCAAGTATAACTGCAAACACAAACTCCTAATACAGTTTGTTCAAATTTAAATAACAATAGTTTCCATATATTATCCTGAACAGGTTTTGTTTGGATGAAAAAAGTTTTGATAAAATACTGTTTTGATCAGTATTGTTTGGATCAAAATAACTATTTTTATGCAGTTTCCATTTTCTAGATGAGATTTAAATTTTTTTGTGTTAAACAAAAATGATATTTTCTTTTACCACAGTCGTATTTTTAATAGCTATCACCAGAAATACTGATTTGTTCATTTAATAAATAAAAATATAATGTAACTTAGTATTAAAGCTCTTCAGGCGCTGAAGCACAGAACTGCTAAGCCACCCACGCTGGTATCAACCAGACTGAGCTCACCCAGTCACTGTAATGCCCAAGCATTTAAATGCCCAAACACTCAAACACTAGACATTCAAACAAGCAAACATCCACAGAACCCACAGAAACTTCCTCACCATAAGACTTTTATAGTCTTATCTGCACCTTTCAACTTTTTTCTTTCTGTTTTCATGTCCTGTAAGCTCAGAAATAGCTCATAACAAATAGAAGAAAAATATGTAACAAAATTGAATAAAACAAGAGGGGGAAGCTGGACTGCCTTAGAAATCTGGTCAGTCCTATGGTTATGGAAATCTGGAGTGACTGCAGAGACACCAGTGGAGTTGGGATGGCTGTAGATTCAGATCCAAGCTTTTTTTTTTTTCTTTTTTTTTTTTTTTGGTCTCTCTGTGTGCACAAGGAAATAATTCAGTCCATTTGTATTTACCAGCAGTTAATGTTTCACCTAAAGAAGGTGCCTCTAATCTTTCGAGCAATTTTCTTATTAAGATATTAAAGTAATGGCACATCTAAATTGTGCCACGTACTCAGTCGGGATCATAAGAACACATGAAGTGTCAGCAGATGCTTCAGATAGCTCTGCTGCTTTCTATGGGAATTCAAGGTTAACCTTAGCCGTCAATAACCCTGGCTTGATTAATGTTTTTATGGGGCACACTTCTCCTCTTCTTCCCAACAGTCGAAGTTCTGCTGTGGAAGGCAATAAAACACAGGAACTAGCTGGAAAGGCGAGGTATTGAGGTATCAACAGTACAGCAGGTGAGGAAAGTCAAGCTACAGACCCAAAGGCAATACTAGATGCTTCCAAAGGGACAGTTCCCAGAAGAAGATCCTCAGGGACTTAGCTGGGCAACATTTATGCCAGAAGGTAACCATACACATCCTATAAACAAATTATGTCCATCCCAGCAAGTCCTGAATGAAAACCTACTTGTCTTTATCCCAACCCCATCATGCCAGGCATGAGCGTCTAATTTAATTATCGCACCCTGTAAAGATAAGAATTGTTTTCCCTGTTCTTCTAAAGAAGATAACATCAAAATTGCAACTTGGCAGGGCTCACTGGTAAGTTCACTGTGTTGCCACATGGAAAATTAGATAGTAGAGCAATAACGAAAACAAGCCCTTCTGAGTCAGCAAATAACTGGGTCTCACTTTCAGGACAAGCAGCCCAGGAGAGCAGCAAGGAGGGAAGCGTGATTGTGACTCACCTTCTTAAACTAATTGGCAGATAGGCTTTTCTAAAGCCAGCTGGAGAGATGGAAGATGGAGGTGTATCTAGGGGCTTTTCTCCATCTGTTTCCAGACAATCTGCTCCGTACTCAGTACATCGTGCCTATTTGGGTAATAATGAAACAGATCTTTTCAAGAGGCAGTTCTGCACACGGTGTAAGGGCACGTGACACACCACTCACGATCTTGTCTTAAATTAATGATACCTGAAAATCACCTTTTTTCTACCTCAAAGCCAAATTAATATAGATCAATTTTCCATTTGTATGATTATCCAATTCATAGAACAGAGATATATTTCTGTTGCTGATAAAATCTATACATTACATTCAGTAACATTCAGGAATGTAACGATGGCAGTATCCTCCTATAGAGAGTAAATTTACTTGCTCTTCCTCAAGGCAAATGAACAACAGCCAAAATGAACAGGGGTGTGATTTATTCCTTCCCATTGGCA